CCAACATCTGAGACAACAGTGACTCTTTTCAATGTCAATGCTATTTTATGAAAGAGGAACGTGGTAGGTGAGGTATGTAAACCAGCTCAGATGATTTACATATATTTATTTGTTTAGTCAAACATCAGAATCTACTCATTTCAAAAGCTCACTGAAATTTCACTTCAACTTTCAATTCAACTTATGACATAAAACTGTGTGATGTAGATCTGCAGTGCTGGAAGAAGTATTTTTTTCTAGTTTTAAATGTGAAATAGTGGATAATTTTACATTTTTGTTATTGAAATTAAACCATTTGAGAAATTTAGAGGGGAAATCACTATTTAGTCACTCATTGCTCTTATGTGCATTTACAATGAGAGATGAAAACTCAAACAAAAAACATCTACTAAAGCTGATGGAGCGATAAGGCCCTGCAACTTTCCTCAAATCAATGTATAGGAAGCAAACATACCAATAAAATTCATATTCCAATCATGTTTTCTACTTTGTTTTCAGTAATTTGAGATTTGACTGGAGCGTAATGTGATCTTATTGCCTCATCTTCTTCAACTGTTTGCTGACTTTCTGGAAAATTGGTTCAAATTTGCATGAACATGGATGAAAACTTGGCTTTTGACATTTGAAATGTGAGTCACAGTTTTTTTTGTGAAGGGTCGCCATTTGGTGTGTGGTTTGTGCTTGTTTCCATGGTAATCTCCTTACTTTGATAGGGATATTCATGATCACAATGTGATTTACCAGTTTACTGTAAACGACACGTAAATTAAACTAACAGAGAATGAACAAATTCTGACACTCGTTAACATGAAACATAACAAGTCATGACGTGGAGCAAGTCTGATCTGTTGTTGTTTATCATAAATCCACTCAGCATTATTTTTAATTAGAAATTTTATGCAATTAGATGATGAAGGAGCACTACAGTGTTTTTAAGCGTAGCTCCTGCTGAACATCAATAATAAATCCAGTGATTATTCAAAAGAGAAATGGCACTCGTAGGGTCCTTAAAATGAATCGCCTAAAAGTCTCCTTTATTTCATTTGCACGAACATGATGGAAGAGCGCACAGTATATGAGTCTGTATTCATTTTTCCGATGATTACAGTGGCTTTACGATATATACATAATACATTGTATTCATTCTTCAGATTAACATAAGATGCAAGTAATAAACACTAATGTGATGGTGTCTGTTTGTCTTCTATGAAAAAACAATGTTTCAAGAGTAGGTATGTGGTAGTGTTAGTGTGGCTACCCCAAGTCATACGATTCCCTTTTACCTCAGATATAAACAGCCCTGCGGTTGTATGCCTCCGCCAACCAGTCAAGTTGCAGTTTACATCTATGTCTGTCCAGACTTTAAAGGAATTATATAACAGGTATAAAGTGTATTTTTTGGCTAAATGGAAGAATATAGCTATACAAGTAGCAAATACAAATTAATTCATCCTTGAGTCCAGGTCAACAATTGTGCTTAATTCATATGATATAAGTGTTGAAGACTTTGAAGGAATTATATAACGGCTATAAAGTGTATTTTTTTGGCTTAATGGAAGTTCGCACTATATTGATGGTACCTGATCTGGTTTAATGGTTCATGTCCTGGCTAAACATGTGCACATGTACTTGATTATTATGTAAAATGGATTATTATACAGAATATAGCTATACAAGTAGCAAATACAAATTAATTAATCCTAGAGTCCAAAACAACGATTGTTCTTAATTTGAAGAAATTCCCTAAAGGCTCCTGAGATATCACATTTACAAGAATGGGGCGGACTGGTGGACGTACAACCCGAGAATATGAAGCCTTATGTTTTTTATTCTGGTTTATTCATCAGTGCATCGATCTGCTTAACTGCAAGGACTCCTGCCCTCTGTCTACTGCAGGTAATACACAGACAATGAATAAATACCTTATACAACCCCTCTTCCTGAAACCTGAACTATCCCTTTAATATTAGACGCTTACTCCAGGAAGTAAATGTTATTCCCCTGACATCTGTTATTTAAAAATATCGTACGTTGATGTAAATGTTGTTTTAGAATCTTTGAAAAAGAGTTTATCCGGAAATATTTCCTATTTGCATATTTCCTTGCTGTGTGAGACATGGTGGTGTTTTGAAAGTATACTCCCTTAATGTGTGTACTGCAAGAAATAAACAACTTAGAAATATATTTAATGTAATTGAAAGACTTTGTAAGGGACCCATAATGTTTGGTGTTTGGCCTTAAACCATAAGAAATTACTTTGTTTCCTTTATGATTAATGTCTTCACAGTTTGGACTGTCCTGATGTAAGTACTCCGGTTTTCCTCCAGGATTTCCCTGTATTTTACTGCATTCCCTCTACCCTTCCTGCTGCAGAGAAGCATCATGCTGCAGAAGTATCTCCCC